TCTAAAAGTGTACACACATGGATCATATTCATTCCCAGTTGTATCAGTATCTCGTTGTGTGTGTGATCTTTTTATTCCAACAATGTCCCGATTGTGGAAGTCCATATATACTTTTTAACAATTTGCAAACTTTGTCTTCTTCACCTTTTTCAACAAATCCTTCCGGCTGTTTCATAAAAATAGTTTCCTTCAATTCTCCGTAAAGGTAGGCGGTCTTCACATCATATGATGTTATAACCAAATTCAACTGAGCTGCTAGGGCTACAATTGCACGAAGACTTTCTTTTCTGATCACTGGTGAAAATGATTCCTCATATTCTACGCCATATTTTTGATTACAACCAATAGCAACTAATCTAGCTTTTCTTCTATAAACACCCTCACCAGGCGCACTCTTTATGCTAAAGATCCATTTGCAGTTTATGATCTTCATATTCTTTTCTCTTTGAACGAGAGTCCATACCTTATGCTTGTCAATAGAGTAAAGTTCTTCTTTCATTGCTTCGAGCCATTCATATTTATTCTCGCAGTTAATCGCCTCCTCATAATTTTCGGGAATACGTTCTTCTGGTTCTAATATAAAATTCACGTTATTTCTTTCTTTTATTCTTTGCGAACGTCGAACGCCTTGTTCAAGCAATTTCATTTCTTCTTCTCTCTGTTTTGCTCTGTGTTTTTCCTCTAAAACTTTTTGTGTATCTCCCTTTTTGCGACCTGACCTTACAATTCTTTCCTCGTTAGGTTCGTCTAACGTGGGAATCGTTTCTTCATTTAGTTCTGAGGTTTCTGGACGCGTCCGAAGGTCGATTTCAATATCATTTTCCTCTTCCTTTTTATATGCAAAATGGTTGTAATTTGTGTCTTCTTGAAGATTTTTTGCATAATTAATTCCTTTCTCATTTTCGACAAATTTTACTTATCTTACTTCTTCTATTTTCTTAGTGATTATGTTATACACTCGATAAGCCTTTCTTTTCAGAGAATAGCCTACAAAAATAACTTTTCGACTTTTAGGCATAAATTTACTTCTATGTTGTTGTGTAATGGGCCAAAACGCCAAACAACCGAATATTCTTAAATGTCGAATGAAGGGTTTTCTTCCTTTCCATTTCTCCATTGGTGTATCAAGCTTGATTGACCTATGTGGAGTACAATTTTTGACATATGATGCAGTAGCGACTGCCTCCGCCCAGAAAGCCATGGGTAATCCTGAATCAAATAATAATGTCCTTGCTGTTTCAATTAGGGTTCGGTTTACTCTCTCCGCGCGCGCAACTCCGTTACTTTGTGGCGAGTAGGTGGTGGAGAGTTGGTGGTGTATTCCATTTTTAATTAAGAAATTCTTGAATCTGTGATTAGTGAACTCTGTGCCATTATCAGTTCGCACATCCTTTATTTTCAGGTTTAGCTCATTTTCCACTCTTGCCTTAAATTCTTCAAACTTCCCCAAAGTTTCATCTTCGTTTTTCAGAAAGTAGATAAAGGTTCTTCGGCTGAAGTCATCAACCAGAACAAAAAAGTATTTTGATCCACCTAGAGATTGGTATGGCATTGGACCACACAAATCCATATGCACCAATTCAAGGGGTTTGGTTGTACAGTTGGTGGTAACGGGATGGTAAGGTTGTCGGGTCAATTTCCCCATTATACAAGCTTCACATTCTGGCAAGTTCTTAAATTTAACATTAAACCTCAATACCACATTCCGTTGAATTATCTCTTTCATGTACGCTTCGTTCAAATGATTCAGTCTTCTATGCCACAAGCTGATATTGTCATTTGAGAAATCATCTTTTGTGGTCATGACATTCTCCGTCTTTTCCGAGTATTCATCTCTGGACCTTGTTTCCATTACATACATCCTATCCTGGATTTGAGCCTCTGCAATTAAATCATCCTGTTCATTGTAAATCTTTGCTCCATCTCTGTTGAAAATTACAGTATTTCCTTTGTTAGTTAATTCGTATATTGATAAAAGATTAGACCTTAAGTTAGGTACATGCAGAACTCCTTTAATTTGAACATTCTCAATTCCGTTTTCGGTACAAGTAGAAACCTTGATATCACCTTTAGCTGTAGCATGTGTAACTTTACCTTCTTCTGCCAAATTTATCTCACTTTCATAAGGCATTGCATCTTCCATCCAGTCCAAGTGTGGAGATAAGTGCGTAGTACACCCTGAGTCAAGACACCAGGTTTGTATCTGACTATAATTATTTGAGGAGTTTTCAAAAACTCGATCTGTGCTGGTATTGAAAGTTTGTTCCGCAGGCTTGCTTGAGACGGTATTCGCATTATTTCTGAAATTTTGTTTGTTATAGTTCGTATTTGAATTTGCATTTCTTCTCCCATGTTGTTCTTGAGTTCGCTTATTTTTGAACCAGTAATCTTTAGCTAAATGTCCTTTTTTATGGCAAACAAAACACTCCTTTTGTCGATTCTGTTGATAGTGATTTCTTCTGTCTTTACTTCTGTAAGCCTGTTCATTTTCATCAGAATGACTCCCATTCATCTTATTCATTCGATTCTCTTCCTCTCTAAGTGACTGCCGAATTTCATCAAGAGTTAATTCTCTTCTAGTTCTCAGTACAACAGCGATCTTTTCCAATCTTGGATGGATACCTCTCACAACATGAAACGCTAGTTCTCTCTGGGATATTTGGTGTCCGAGTGAAGAACTTTGAGAGGCAATATTTTTGGCTCTAGCCATATATTCGTTTATGGATTCATTATTTTTCATCTTGATTCTCTTAAGTTCAAGTCCAATATCAATGATCTTATCTTCTAGGTTGCCCGTGTAGATTTTCTTTAATTCATCCCATAATTTCTTTGCTTTAGTTTCATCTAGAAACATTCCTGCTTGTTCATCTGATAGAGTTGTAACTATAATTCCAAAGGCTTCGTCATTCTTTTCACTCCATATTTGCCAAGCGACTTCATCTTTTATATCAGGCTCGGGATCCGAAATTACGCATTTAAATAATTTCTTTCCACGTAAAAGTGCTCCGACTTTTAAAGCCCAAATCGGATAATTTGTTCCTGTTAAAGGTTCAATTTTTGTCGTTGGCGAAAAATTGAAATCCATTTTAGCCTTGTTTTTCAACTTTTTAAAATTAAACAATATAGTTTAAAGGTAGTTTATAATTCAAAAATGTCTTTTTTTTCAATCCTTCTATTTAAAACTTTCTTTTATCAATATAATTCAAATTATATTGAAAAATATTTCAAAATTTACATACGTTGATGCAGAAGAGATCTTTGTTTACCGATTAGAATAAACGTATCAAACTTCTGATAAAATATTTTCGCTTTTTCTCAAGTTTTAAATTGAACCACGCTCTGCTACCATAAATTGTAGTATTTTAAATAATTACAACTCTAAAGCAACAAAAGAATTATTTATTGCATTTAGCAAGACAAGAAAAAACAAAAAGAACTCGGGATGCCAAACAAAAACTTTTTTTTAGGTTAATAAACCTGCAACCACCTACCGGTTAGTTCCTATTCCAAATCTAGCTTTCACACAGAGTATTGAAAAATAAAATACGACATTTATTTTACTTAATTAGCTCTTAGTTGTATATATATTTATTGAAAGTACATATTGGGGATAAAGTTATATTTCTGCAATTACAGATATGAAAATGTATACGTTTTTAGAATATTATTGTTCAAGTTATCATATAAAACATCTAAAACTGTTTCAACAGACGAGTCCAGTTTCTGTTTGCAGCACCATAATGGTCGTATTAGTGTTTAGCGCCATCGTGGTGAGGCACATTGCCAGCGTGCATGCGATATCATCCTATTGATTCATCACTAGGAGTGATTCTATGGGGTGCCATTGGATATGCTCGGTCACCTTTTATTAGAATTCACTGCTTTTTGAACAGTTCCTGTTACATTTCTGATGTGTTAAGGCTCGTGGCAGTACCCTTTATTTAAGGTCTGGGAAACGCTACATTTCAGAAGGATAATTCACAGTCGCATGTTACCAGTTTTGTATGGACTTTCCGACATCCAGAAAATGTCCGACTGCTCTCCTGGCTAGCACATTCTTCTGAGCTGTCACAAATAGAAAACGTCTGATCAATGGTTGCCTAGCGACTGGATCGTCACTACACGCTAGTCACTATTGTCGATGATTTGTGGCATCATGTTGAAGCTGCATGGAAGGCTGTACCTGTACATGCCATTTAATATATTGCTGATTAAATGCCCAGGGGTATAAGTGCTTTTATCACTGTTAGAGGTGGTTATTCTGGGAACTGATTTTCGGGATTCATAGCTTCAAATTTCTTGAGCATTTAATATCTTTCAAGTCATATTTCAAGTCATAAGTTTGTTATTTGCATTTCTCCATTAGGCCAAAATTTTAATTGCCAGTAGTGTGCTTTATATCCCCATCATTCTTTATAATTTTTATATATACTATTTTAAAAAATCCGAGATAATACCATGATATGATCACAACAATTTTCTGAACATTTTGGATAATATATATATTTGATTGTAAAACGACATTTGAAAATTATCCCGCATGCGTTTCTTTTGAACGAAAAATCGAAATTTATTTTTAAGGAGAAATAACGATTATTTCTCACCTTAGGGATGAAGTATGAAAGGATTATCATTACTCTTCACAATGTCGTTTTACAATCATAAGCCGCATCATATTGTATTATAATATTTACGAACGGAAAAATATGTCCAGGGTAGCCTAGTTGACATGGGATCTGCCCAGTAAGCGGAACACTCTGGGTTCGATTCCCATCCCTGTACACTTTTATTTTTCCGTTTATCAGTACTCTTCACAATTCATCCTTTCATACTTCATCCCTAAGGTTAGAAATAATCGTATTACTCCTTAAAAATAAATTTCTATTTTTCGTTCAAAAGAAACGCATGGGGATAATTTTCAAATGTCGTTTTACAATCATAAGCCGCATTATATTGTATTATAAATTACTGTATATAATATTTACGAACGGAAAAATATGTCCAGGTTAGCCTAGTGGACATGGCATCTGCCCAGTAAGCGGAACACTGTGGGTTCGATTGGCGGTCGCCCATTGATGGGGAATACTGCTCGGATGAGAGGGCGGAAGACACTTTAGGAGAGGTAGCGATGAGCAAGCGACAGGTCGCTGGAGCCGCAGGCGATGCAAACAAGCTGTTATGACGCCGAGTGCACAGGATGAGGCAGGGCGAGCCTAAATGATATGTCCATATCATAACCCCCAAAGGAGCAGTGACGATGGATGCGAATGGTATGCTTGGGGAAGGCACGTCGAAGAATGGCGCCCAGCGTCGAAGAAACCGAGAGATGGGGACGGCGGACATTCGGGGACGCTCCAGTTCCGACCCACACTGCATTTGCTAATGCGCAGAAACGGGGTGACTGATCAGCGCAGCACGACGTCTTCCTCCATGCTCCTTTCCAGGCATACGCTTCTTGCATTTTCTGCAACCAGACGCTGTCAGAATTAAGCAAGGGCAGCTGAATTGTCGTGCACACTTCCCTGGCCTTCTCAGGCCTGGCGATGAGCGACGAAGTAGAGCCCGCCAGGTCGCGGACGCCAAGCCACCGTAATGGGGCCCGAAATGATGTCGTCGCAAGGAACCTGCAAGCGCTTACGATGGGAAGGTCCAGTAGTGTAGGAGTGGGTATCATTCGGTGGTTTAGCTTTAGGATGGAGGTGGCTGCTCCCCCAGTTCCAGTAGACGCCAACGACGTGGCGGCAGCCAGGCTCCCGAAGACAAAGGAGTCATCCAGATCACTCTTCACCAGCAATAAGTAGGCGTTTCGGCTTCCAACCTTGCATGCGGTCTGGACTTCCTTGAAGCAGGTAAGATGGAGCCAAGCATGTTTAGTAATCTGATTCTACCGATGTTCACGTGACGAATCACAGAAGTACCAGGCGCCCGATAGCACGAACCCCAGACGAAACGCTGCAGCCTGGCCTGCTTTTTGGCGTTTCTGGGTAGATAGTTGTGCAGATGGTGAAGCACCGATGCCATCACCAGCGAATTGGCCGCCCTCGCTTGGCTGACAAGGGAAAAGCCAAGAAGGTAGGAAGGCCACTTGTTGATCGTTCTCTCTAAGGCGCCCAGCAGGTGATCCTCCTGGATCACGGTTTCATAGGCTGTTGGCATTTCACATTCTCGGACAACAATGGAAGAGAGTGACCACATGATGCCCAGTGGAGAGTTGGGGCGGTCCTTCCAGGCGCCGCACCATAGCCCCTTGCTCTTGAAGAATCAAAGCACGGTGTTCCGACAGTCTATAATTAGTTGACCAGTAATGGGTGAGACGTGGTCAGAGAGTCTAGATGGTAGAAGCACTCGATCAAGATGACTCGCGTTGAACCGGCTTCCGAGTGTGGCGACCCTAGTCGGTAGGTGTGCGGCTTCGAAGATGTACGCAGCGTCCACGAGGTTGGCTTGGTCCAGGAGTTCTGTGAGGTCCTCTACTGAACCGGAACTGATGTCGCTTGTGGATCACTCGGAGATATTCAGTTCACCGAGGACCCAGGCATCTACTCTGATGGCTTCAGCCGCGATGGTCTGCAGTTGTAGGAGCCACTTGACTAGAGCATGGGAAAGGTGACAGTTGACGAAAGCCATTTGGTGTTCCTGGACGTTGGCGCTGACCACTGCGATCTTCCCTGGCCATAGTATGCGCTGCCACAGGATGGTGATGTCAGAAGCAGCGACCCGGACAAGCCCTGATCCAATTATGACGTCAATGGCGCGATGGTTGCTTTGTAACCATTCTTCTGTACGAATGCGAGGTTAGTGGTATGCTGATGGAGGAAGCAGCAAAGATTCACGCTTCTATGGCGAACGTTGAGTCCGCACACGTTGAGCGTCGCAATGCGGAAGCTCATTGCTGTTGTTTAGCAGAGGTTCTGGCTCTTGACAGCTTCTTGTAGATAGTACACGAAGTATCCCCTAACAGAGCCATGAGCCTAGTGGCCAAGATGTCGATAGTCTTATTCTGCTCCGACTTCAGTGTTGCAAGAAGAGGGTCGAGCTTCCCATTCATGGTGAATGCTGTGAGAAGGGTTTCTTCTTCAGCCCCAATGGCTGAGGATCATAAATCGCCTTTTGGTTCTCAACTAGAGTACCCATTTATTGTCGTGCCTTGGATTTTGCCTATTGTTCTTTGTTCTGTGGAGAAGCTTGAGGTCGAGGGTCGACCTTCACTTACGATAATTACTTCGGTTAGCACTTTGTACGTAGGGATTGTTGCAGGGACTACCTAGGCGGGAAGAGCAGAAGCGCGGGTAATCGGGAAAGAAACTTCTGAATCATGGCATGAGCGAGCGGCATAGGAGCAGGAGCGTGCCAAGAGAGGCGAGTGTGAGCACGCTGTATATACTCGTGAACGACGTCTGCGGGGAAGATACTCGGGACTCCGCTGCCGCCCCGGTGTTCTGCGGGCAGTTATCACGGCGGTGGCCCAATTTGTGGCAATTGTTGCACCGGACTCCGTGGGAAAGGAATGCCTGGGTAGTCTCTTTTCCATCCTTGATATCGAGGTGCGCGGGGATCTGATGGCTCTTCAGGGGATCGTTCAGCATCATGAAAGCCTCCCGTCTGCTATCCATGACAGTGTAGCCCCCGATGGCCATGCATATGGGGGCGATGGACATCACCTGCCCGTAAGGTCGCAGGACCGCGATCACGCCACTGTCTTGGACGCAGAAGGGCAGGTTGCTGATTACTATTTTCTCAGCTCTTTTCTGACATGGGTATGCTTTTAAGGAAGGCGTCCTCGATTGTCAGGCCCTCGTCGATCAGGCGCTCTTCGACGGTGGTGGTTGACAAGCCGACGAGGACGTGGCTGTTGATCTTGGTCAGCTATAGGGTGGCCTCTTTACCCCCAAACATCTTGTTCAGAAACTGGGTGAAGTCCGGGAAAAATTCCACAAAGACGCAGTTATCGAGAGAACTCGATTGTTGTATTTCCCTGGGCACATCAAATTATTGCCTCGTCGTCTTGATTTTCTGAGGTTGAGTCCTCCTGGTTGACGAAGTCTGACTTCCAGTGTTTACCGAGGCTCTGTCAGAAGCACGTGGCCGTGGCAGTCGCTCGAGGTAAGCGGGAACCAGGGAAGAGAACCACCGCCCATCTTCCATTTGCGTTTAGGTTGAATAAAGCTGTCCTCGTCGGCTTCACTCGATTCAATAATTTCACCCCAGTTTTTGCCCCCATTTACGTCGGATGTCACAACGACGCCCGCTGCAGATGACGCACCGGCTGCACGTGGTTGACCTTGGATGACCCCAAGGGGAAGTCCCCACTCTCTGTTCTCATGGCTGTAGGAAAGTTAGAAAGTTCTTCCGCCGATATCTCGGCATTGGTAGTTTATCTTGAGTGGGAGTTACACCACCATCTTCCACATCCTCTTGGCTATCGCTCCACGTGGCCGCACGGCTAAGAGTGAGAAAGAGATAAGAGAGAGATGAAACTAAATAAAACATGAATATTTACATATGATACATTCATACATAAACCTTTATTAAGATCTCTTTCGTCTTACATTTCGATTATCACTATTAAATAAAAATAGTTTTTACTTTTTTTTTTACTCTTTTGCTTTTGCTGCTGCTGTGATAGAGATGTATCTGAGGCTCTTCATTGGACACGACAACAACAACAACAACAACTCTTTTGCTTCGCAGTTTTTGAAGTGTGAATAAAATGTATAAGAATATATATTGTAGCAAAGTATTTATTATATTTTAGGTACTGATTATTGATTTATTGATATTATTTATATTTTGCTATTCTGGAAACCTTCCTCACTGCTTAACGTGTATCTTCTAAATATTGATCTGTGTTTGTGCCTTAAATAAATTGCTGTGTCATCCTGAAGTTTGTCTTTCCTAATTTTCTACGTTACAATATGATTTAATAAAAGGGGCTAGTGTGTGAATAAAAATAAGCTATGACTTCCATCTTAGTAGGACGTGCAGTCTGGACAACACTGAACAAAAAACCCCTCAACAGCCCGAATCATGTACCTAATTGACTTTTCTTGTTAATTAAAATAAAAAGTATTCGACCAATTTAAACGAAGATAAAAAAAGAAAGTCAACGTTTTTAGTTGATAATTATTCCTATAGATGGCTCTCTGCCATCAGCAACATTTAGTTGCATTATCCGAAGATGCTTTATTATTCCTAAAAATGATAAACAAAAGAGTATTTTTATATACAGTAGAACCACTCTGTAAAGGACACCTAATTGCAAAGCCAAAGTGTCCTTTAGGAAGAGGTGTCCTCCTACTGGAGAGTTGCTAAATTGTAAAAATGGTAATTTTGCAAATGAAAACTGTCTTTTGTAGAGAGGTGTCCGCTAAAGGAAGGTTCTACTGTATTTTAAAATTTCACTAAACATTAAATTCCTAAAAATAATATTAATAAATGGGAGATTGGTGCTCAGACTTACGAAAAATTTAATTTCTTGAATCATAAGGAACAATTTTTTTTTTATAAATAGAGAGTATATGAAAAAACAATAGAAAAAATAAAAGATATGCGGGTCAGGTGTTGATATCTTCTATCTTCTATCTATATATATAAAAATGAATGTTTGTATGTTTGTCTGTTGGTTGGTCTGTATGTCCGGTATACAAATTCGCAGTAGTTCACTAATACAAACCAAAATTCCCATACATAGGTAAAAAAAAAACGAGGATGACGATAGGCTATTTTAAAAAATATATAAATCAATTATTAAAACTATATATTCAAATTATTCTAAATAGCTCACGAGCAGCGCCCTTTAGAACGCGGTGGATCTGATGGCGGGGCGCGCCCATTGGCCGCCTGCGAGCACGTGGCTTCCCTGTGCGCGCGCATGCGCCGGGAAGCCACTTGCTCGCCGGCAGCCGACGGGAGCAGTCACTTGCTCGCCGGGAGTCAACGGGCGCAGACATTTACTCGCTGCCAGCCAACGGGCACATGTTTAATGTGTTTGAATTATACATTTAATCATGTAAACCCGGGGGTTGCCCGGGTCATTCGTCTAGTTAAAAATAAAGAAGGCATTTCCTGACCACGAGCACATGT